ACTACCTACGAGGCTGACGCTGACGGACTGTATCCCAGGGGCTCCACCAACCCCAACGGCGAAACCCACGGAAGTTCAACTCTGGGCCGTGTCGGCCAATGTGCTCACCATGGACCCCCAGGCCCTACGGGCCGCAGGCATTGCAGAGGGCTCACACATGGGACCACCAACGGGGCGATTCAAGCAATGAGGCGCACACGTTGACCGCTGCGGGCACCTACTCGCAAGGACCACGGAGACCAGGCGACAGACGGCCAAATCAACGACGGTGGGCAATTATCATGTCCTACTGTCGGCAGCAACCAATCCGCGAGGGCAAGGTGGCTGCGCGTTATGGATCAGCACGGCAACTGCCTACGCAGAGGGCTGCTACATCAAGCCGTCAGTGTGCAGAGCTTTGCACTAGGAGCCATCACGTCTCATTGTTGCCACGCGAGCCCCGCACATGTCATGCGACGCACTTGTAGCTCATGCGCCTAGCCTGCACGACAGCAATCCAGATAGGTTGGCACACATACGACAGTTGTGGGAAACAACTACACATCCCACACGCGCATTGCGACATGGAGCGGGTGCATACATCACGTGTGTTGGCGCCAGCGGCAGAGTCGTGAGTATCACATCAGAGGCCATAGGCAACGAAGCACCTGAAGAACAGAACGATCCAACTGCGAAATTCCACGATCGTTGCAAGAGACGGACCAATAGGTGCCGTCAACCTTTTTGCCATCCGTCTCAAGGCAAGCTGGCACTTGGTCCGCACCAGGACGCAAAGCGCAAGCGCGCAGGATCGATGCCATTGACGTCTCAGACAGCACCTGGGACAGCTCGCAGAGGGTCGACGACAAGATAGATCTCACAGTCACGCGCGAGAATCACAAAGCAGTCGGCGCACGTCTCCATTTCATAGGACACCATTCTGCCCCCCCCCCCCCCAAGCAAGGATACACGATACCGCGTGATCCAGTCAGTTTGAATGACACAGATGCGCAGGCGATATTCAAGCGATACTATTTGAATTCTAAGCATCGGACCATGCTCACATGTGTGACGCGCACGTTCGAGTAGCAGCGCAGGAGGCTTTCCCGACAAGGCAGACCACGCGAGAAAGACAACAACGGCAGAATTGGGTAACACAACGCACGTTGCATGCAATGGATGAGCGCACTGCCGCGTTACGATGTGCACGGCGTATACATGCTGCTGCCCGTGCAGCTATCCTAGCAATTATCGTGATTGCCTGAACTGGTGTGGTGGATGACCACAAACAGTCATATCAATATACCGTGCAAGTTCCCCCACGCGATCCCCCGCTGCATGTACAAGCAGTACGCAGATCCATGCACAATCTACACGGGCATGTGAAGGAGGTACAGACACACCCTGTGAAATGTATGACGCGCACGATGGGAAACCATCCAACATAAGCAAACAACGCATGAGGAGCTCACGGGAAACGTAAAGTTCCAGAGCCCTCCATGAGGCCTCGTACATATACGCCTTGGGAACATACATACATATCCTACCGCGGGGGACTACTAGGCCGCAGTACGTGCAGCAGGCATACAGAAGCATGCAACAACTAAAGTGTGCATCCCACGCGGTGCGAGAACTATTACTAGCTCACACCAACTACTACGTCAAAGCGTGTGCCATATTGGACGCGCAGCAGCACTACGATCACCTAGCTACGCTACTCACGTCAGAGTGGTCCAAACACCAGCACATCATGATCTGCAAACGACTCAAGGGGATGAGAGCGTGCTCGAGGAAAAAGCAATCGGCCCAACAGAATCACCATGGTGAGAGATCCGACGGGACGCCCAGCAGCGACAACAGCAGAAGCGGCCAACATATGGCTCGCACACTTCGGACACAAGGAGTTGAGCGCCATTGTGGCAGTCGAAGAGGCCGACACAGTGCAAGATGCCTTCGCTCAGCTGCTGCAGGATCTCACACACGATATTCCAGCACATGGTGCCTTCTTGCCCGCATTACACGAATTTCAGAACAGCTGCGTACGTGCCAAGCCATCGGCCGCGAGCCTCGATGGCGTATCAGGCAGCATGTTACAAGGATTCGGAGTGGAGTTCGGTGCACTATATTACCCCATAGCGCTCAAGGCCGTCACGAAGTTCGATCAGCCCGTGCAATGGAAAAGCAGGTGCGACTGGGACATACGGAAGGGCTCAACAGATCTGTCATACCCACTCCACTCCAAATCGGTCATGATCTCTCCCCATCTTACTCCGTACTCCCCTCGCTCTCGCCCTACATCCACAACGGAGAGCGTGCGCCACTTCTTTTTCGCAGGGAAGGCTTGTCAGAGATCACCTCGCATTCGACTCGGCACGATGCTGCTTGGCGTATTTTCTGCATTGAGCGGAACCTCCAGCCGCCACCGCAAGGGCATGGGCCCAAGAGGACGCGGCGGAGGTGCTAGCTCAAAGACGGGCTGGACAAGGACGATGGAGATCGGCTTTCCCAGCCAACGCTATGTACCCCCTGAGAGCCTCATATGGGACTCCAACTGGGTTTCCTAACACTATCTGAAGAAGAAGCCAGGGAAGTACTCAGGGACTCCCTCTATGAGCTCACCGACGAGACCAGGAAGATCCTGTATCAAGATAACCCTGCAGCCACCAACAGCGCCTCAAGAGATCAAGGAGGACCCCCAGACTTCCAGGACACGGTCAAGGAAGCTATACCAGTGCGTATACGCAGAGCGGAGATTTTGATGATCCACCTTTTTTTCTGGCATGCGGAGGACAGGAAACGTACAGTCCCACATCGAGCCTGAGGCTATCCTCCCAGGCTGCCAGATCAAAATGCTCTCAGTAGAGATATCCATACACAAACAGAAAGGGGATCTCACAAGAAGGCAAGCAATACATGAATGGAGGGAACACATCAGGGCACACAAAATATGGAAAACGGGGGGCCGTGCGAAACATGGTGTGCAGCACGTTGGTTGGAAGACCCCCCCCCCCATTACGTACGAACGAATACATGTGGTGTGTGCCGTGGGCTATGACGAGGCAGCAGGAACAACTGGAGACAGGTAATCAGCTCTTGTTTGCGCTTGTGTAGTTGCTAGGAGACCACCTTGCATCAGGGACAGATGGATGGATGGAACATCCGCAGCCCGCAGTATGGCGACAGCAAGCGCCCACATCTTTCATGTGGGGCCAGATCAAAGCATTAGGATCATCCCCCATCTCTTCCACCACCGATTTTGACCAGTGTGTATTCCAGGACAAGCCAGCCTCTGAAGTATGACTCGCGCCGAGACACGATTGGTTCCTATCATGATGCCCACTCTACATACACACATGCGAGCAGGGGGACACTGGCAAATGCAATCACGGTCGGGGGACACACATGACGCTCGTGGACAAGACTGCCGACAAGCTCGGTTTCAAAACAGGCGCAAGGAGCCTGTCAGCAGCCCTCGCCAGAGCCGCAGCAGACTCTCCGCAGAGCATTGCCGACGACAGCCTGCCGATCGCACAAGGCCTCAGAGAGATGCATGCCAGATTGGACCCGGACATGGAGTTTGCGCAGGCTCCTGACTGTGCGAGAGACGGCAGGAGAACCCGAGGAGACCCAGAAGCGAGTATATGGAAAGGCTCGCAGTCTCCCTCCTCCTCCGCTCCTCCGTCGCCGCCGCTGCCCGTCTCACCCCCTCCTCCCTCCTCCCACCGCCGCAGCCTCCCGCCCGAAGTGGGAGGGCAGGACCTGGGGGAGGTGGCCAGACTACTGGAGGACTCCGAAAAGCCTCTCGAGGACGGCGCCCCTTTGCCCTCCCCCACTCCTCCTCCTCCTCCTCCTCCTCCTCCTCCTCCTCCTCCTCCTCCTCCTCCTCCTCCTCCTCCTCCGCCTCCTCCTCCTCCCTCCTCCTCCTCCTCCTCCTCCTCCTCCTCCTCCTCCTCCTCCTCCTCCTCCTCCTCCTCCTCCTCCTCCTCCTCCTCCTCCTCCTCCTCCTCCTCCTCCTCCTCCTCCTCCTCCTCCTCCTCCTCCTCCTCCTCCCTTTCCTCCCTCCTCCTCCTCCTCCTCCCTCCTCCTCCCCTCCTCCTCCTCCTCCTCCTCCTCCTCCTCCTCCTCCTCCTCCTCCTCCTCCTCCTCCTCCTCCTCCTCCTCCTGCTCCTCTTTCTCCTCCTCCTCCTCCTCCTCCTCCTCCTCCCTCCTCCTCCTCCTCCTCCTCCTCCTCCTCCTCCTCCTCCTCCTCCTCTTTCCGAACTTTCAGTGGAGCAATTGGCACGTGTAGTCGCTAACAGGGTTACCGCCAAAGAGAGGCTGCTGCAGCGCATCGTTCCCTGGCGAGGCTCCCTGGAACTCAAATTATGATTCATGTTCTGTTCCTGCCGCCTTCCAGGGGGTTCTCCGAAGGTTTTCGGAGCAAGGCCAGGGTTGAGCACACGTGGACCGCCATACCACCCTCTGCGCCACCACCACCTCATCCTCTCCCGCATGCCGCAGCCCGAGCACCCGTCCACCTTTGGAACGGGTGTCCACTGGGGCAGGCGTGTGAGGAACGCCCGTCCACGCCAGCCCACGTCCTCGCGCCCTCCTCGGGGCCGAGCTGATCGGCCACGGAGCACTCCTATACAGCCACTCCGCCGCCCTCCCCAACGACGGGAGGCCAGCTCCTGAGAACAAAGGCAGCCCAACGCAGCAAAACCGGAGGGAGGCGGGGCGCGCGAAAGCGCAAGAACGACCGAAACGAGGCAAAAGCAAAGCAACATCTGAGCCCTGGAAGTAACGCGCGCCTGGCCAAAAGGTGGAACAACATGAAATTGACATCGGCCGTGCTGCTCCTACGCGTGCCTGGCCAAAAGATGGAACGACATAAGATTGGCATCGGCTGTGCTGCTCCTACGCGTGCCTGGCCAAAAGATGGAACAACATAAGATTGATATCGGCTGTGCTGCTCCTGCGCGTGCCACGTCCCTTGCATTGTACTCTTTCCTTCGCCCCCCGCACACGGGGGGCGAGGAACGCTAGGGAATGAGGGGCGCAGCCGCGGCCAAGAGGGCCACGCTGCCGCGCTGGAGCGTCGCCGCTAGGTGCTGGTAGCACCCGTCTATAGCAGACGACCGCTCGCGCTCGGAAAGGCCATCGGCGAAGGCCTTGATTCTGCCCTGGCCCCCCCCGCCCATGCGGCCGAGGTGAGAGAGCACGAAAGGAGTGAGGCTGAGCATATGATACTTGCGTCTCTTGTTGCTCTCCTCGCGCGCGATGAGCGCCCCGGCCCTGTGCAGGCGCGCATCCCATGGGAGTGCCCTGATGTGTGGTGTCACGACGGCGACGTCTAGGCACTGTCGCACCATCCGCTTGTCGTGGTAGTCGATGTCTGGGCGGCGCTCGTCCGGCAGGTCACGTGGCGGGCGCTACTACTCGGTGTGAGCACGGACGCCCACTTGCTCCGTGATCATGCCCGCAAGGACATCGCGGAGAGCGTCGTGCCTGCCCACCACGAGGCCCCATCGCTTGCACATAAGACCCTGGAGGCCCTTCAGGTCGACTGCCTGGCTGCGGACCTGGTACCCGGACTGCCGTCCGCCCCTGTGGAGGCAGTGGAAGTCGTGCCCCGGCCGCTTCTCATGAACCTCCAAATGCATCTGGAGGCGGCTGGCGGTGGCGACCTCTTGATTCGTCAGGCAGTGGTGCGGAAGCGTCGGGACTGCAAAACATGAGCCACCACCGCCGCCATCAGACTCCAGCATCGTGGTGACGCACTCCTCAGTGGCACCACTACGAATATCGGAGCCTATGCGAGAAACCACTTCGGAGAGCCATCTGGACGCGGCGCCTGCCGAACCTGGGAGTAAAACATCCTTCGTGCCAGTTGGGAGGTCCACTCCCTGCGCCGACATGCCGGTGACGACGCCTTCAAGGCAGGCCCGGAGGGCGGGCGCCCTGTCGAGCAGGGCGGAACCGCCGGCGAGGCCCGTGGTCTCTGCGCTCTCGGTGAGGTCGCGCAGCCAGGAGGCCAGGTAGTTGGGCTTGGAGCCCAGGGCCGCGCTCGACAGGCCGTACCTTCCATCGCTGCCGGTGCAGGCGGTGCGTGACCTCGGAGGTCCCCACGCCCAGGAGGTCGAAGATGCCGTCTAAGACCACCATGTCCAGCGCGGAGCAGTGGGCCTCCGTGGGCGGTTGGCGCTGCTGGAGGTAGACACCGTCGCTGGCAGTAGCCACTCGAGCAAGACACACATCGAGGTGCGTGGCCAGCCCCGCCGCCTTGAGCTCGCTGAAGCGATTCAGCGTGCGCCTCCGTTCTGCCAGCACCTCCTCGCAGGGCCCGCTCGTGAAGAGCAGGGCCGGATCGCTGGCGGAGTCCACGCCCGGGCGCGCGAGAGGCTGCTTGAGTACCAGCGGGGGCGATGCCACTCGTCGGATGCCCGAACCCCCACGTCGCAAGCCCCCGGAGACCACGTTGAGCACTCGCGAAGCTTCAGGGTGCAGCTGGCGGTGCTGAACGCCCGGGCTGCATGGCGGTCCGGAGGTTCGCCGGCCGAGCGAGTAAGAACGTATCGTCCTGCAGCCTCACCACCACCGAGTTCTCCTTCAAGGCATCGTGAACCGGGGCGACGCCCAGGCAAGCCAAGTAGGAGGCCGACGGGCAGCCCTGGTCAACCCCGGTCGTGGCGACGATGGAGCGGAGGGTCCCAGCTTAGTCTTTGAACATGTGGCGCCTGTCAAGACGGAACCATTGACAGACCAGCGGCCGCATCCAAGGGACTCGGTGTTGGACCTCAGACTCGATGTTGCCCAAACACATGCTCCCGTACATGTTCGCTACGTCGAGGGCTGTCAGGGTGAGCTCAGGGTCAGAGAACAAATGGGCGTCGACGAAATGTCGGCACGCCACAGGGCCACCTGGCCGGGCGACGCCGTATTGAGATTCGCCCACAGCGTCCCCGACCTCCTCAGGGAACATGTTGCCCCACCCTCGGAGCGCAGCACGCCAGTGGCCAGATGGTGACACCAATGGGCGAATGTCGACGTCACAGTCCAGCTTAAGAGGCGAGCCCGGTTCGCCTCGAGTGGGGCCTCGCCGGTCAGCAAATCCGCGAGGACGCTGGCCAGGACCTGCTGGCCACCCTGGATGGAGGCGTGGATCTTGAGGTGCTCGTAGAAGGACCCGTTGGGCCCAGCGCCGCACATCGACGGGAGTGCCGCGACAGCCGCCGAGATGTGCGTCACGAGCTCCTCCAGCAACTCCGGCGGGACCTTCTCGTGGGCGGGCTGCGGGGGCAGCGGTCGAGCGGGCTTTGGGAACATGTCCTGCAGGTTCCTCGGGACGTCGTCGCCCTGGGTGAAACGCATGGGCGCGTGCACCCGCGCGAGGGCCTTGCTGACCGCTTTGTTGGCGACGAAATGTTCGATGGCACGGACATCCCGTGCAGCAACCGCCTCGGAGGAACGGGACTGCGCCGGGGAGCTCCTCCCCCCTCCTCCTCCTCCCCCCCTCCTCCTCCTTCCCGTCCCCCTCCTCTCCTCCTCCCCTCCTCCTCCTCCTCCTCCTCCTCCTCCTCCTCCTCCTCCTCCTCCTCCTCCTCCTCCTCCTCCTCCTCCTCCCTCCTCCTCCTCCTCCTCCTCCCCCACCTCCCCTCCTCCTCCTCCTCCTCCTCCTCCTCCTCCTCCTCTCCTCCTCCTCCTCCTCCTCCTCCTCCCTCCTCCCCCCTCCTCCCTCCTCCTCCCCCGCCCGCCTCCTCCCCGCCCTCCCGCGTGTCGCCCCGACGTCCCGCCGACCTCCAGGAAGTGCCCGGCCCCCGCCGCGCGCAGCCGGCGGCACCACCACGCCACCGTCTCGTACTGCCAGGCCCCTGCGGGGAGGAGCTGGCGGCGGCGGCCGCGCCCGGCCCCACCCAGGCGTGCCTGCACGACCACCCTTCGGGGGTGGTGAGGAGGTTGGCTCAAGCGCGGAGAGCGCTCAGCATCCGAGGCCACATGCCATCATGACCGAGTGGTGGGCCGCGCACTCCAGCAGAATATCGTCCGCGTCTTGAGTCAGGCATTGCAACTTCTTGCTTCGAGGAGGTTGGGGTGGGCGGGGGGGAAGTACCAACTGCTGGCAACTGCGATGGGTGTGATGATGACGATGCTGGTGACGCGCCCTCGAGTTAGCGACGACGCGTGATGACGATGTTGCGCTGCGATGTAATCTCACTATCGCCCCCGCTTTCGGTTTCACTCGGTCAATCCCACTCTCGACCTCACAGCACACTCGATCCAACCATTTAGAGCTTCCCTGGAACCGATGGGAGGCAGGGGAAGGGTTCGGATTTCGCCACGAGTTCGACGAATTTCGAACCCCGCCCCCGCCGCCCATCGAGTTGCCTGAGTCGTTTCGGCGTCGAGCCCGGCGGGGAAGTGAGAAGGGGCGCCCTTCTCGGAAGGCTCGGAAGTTCTGAGAAGTTTCCTGAGCCTTCCCCAAAGACTCAGAAAACCTCTCAGAAGGCGCGATGGCTTCTGAGAAGCCCCGCCGCCTTCTGCGACGGCCTTCTCCTTCTCGCTGCCCCCCTCGCTCGCCGCCGATCGTTGATCGGCGAGGGGGAGGCTCGGCTTCCGCCGCCGAGGAGCTGCGACACGATCGCACAAGCTTCCGGCGGCCCGCGCGGCGGACTGCCCCGGTCGGCGCCCAGGCCCCCCGCTCCCTGGCGCGCGGCGCGCGCCAGGGGCGCCGCCAGAGGAGGAGGAGGAGGAGGAGGAGGAGGAGGAGGAGGAGGAGGAGGGAGGAGGAGGAGGAGGTGGGAGGAGGAGGGAGGAGGAGGAGGAGGGGGGAGGAGGAGGAGGAGGAGGAGGGAGGAGGAGGAGGAGGAGGAGGAGGAGGGAGGAGGAGAGGAGGAGGAGGAGGATGAGGGGAGGAGGAGGAGGGAGAAGGAGGAGGAGGAGGAGGAGGAGCAGGAGGAGGTGCAGCGCCGATCCAAGAAATCCGAGCGGGCCTCCCTGACTCCGAATCCGCCGTACTTTCGGCGATCTCGCAGGTGGGGCAGACATGCTCGCCCTACTTTTCAGGCTCCTCTGATGCCGATTCCCGCCCTACGTACTTAGCTGTTGCTGCTTCCGCCGCCCTTTGCCAAAGATATCGGCCCTGCTCCTCTGAGGCGGACACTTCTGCCCTAATTACTGTTCCGCATCGGTTGGGGTGCATCTCCGACAGAGCTCGAAGCTGGAAAATCCATCAAAAAACGGCGGATCTGGATTCAGGGTTCCGAAAGCGCGTGCCTGCGCCGTTTCACCTTTCTCTCCGAGCTCCGTCTGCCAGCACGCGCCGGGACAGGTGCTCGTCGGGGCCAAAGACGAAGAGCCGCAGCCCGACCCAGCCCGGCGCGCCGGCGCCCAGGGGCGGCCCCGCCTGAGAGGGGAGCACAAGGGCACAAGAGAGGGGGGGGGCCAGGGGGCGGGGGGAGACAATCAGCCCATGCGCCGGCGTCCATGGGGGCGGCCCCGCCGGAGAGGGGGGGGCCAGGGGGCGGGGGGAGACAGTCAGCCCAGCGCGCCGGCGTCCATGGCCCAGACTCTCGGGATCGTCAAAATATTAAAGATCTTCATAATTTGACAGGTTCTTCAAAATATTGAAGATTTGCGTCGTTCTCAAGCGCGCGTGCATACGCATGCACAGCGCATATGCACGGACACATACATGCGCGCATCGCGAGTGTCTTGTGTAGTTTCATGCGCGCGTGCACGCTCATGTGCATGCGCGTGTGATTTGGAGAATTGCCGACGACACCGACGACGCCGACCGACGGCTACCGCCGACCGCCAACGCCGTCCGCCGACGACGACGATCGACGACGACCGACGACGACCACCGACGACGACGGACGACGGACACTGCGACGACGACCACCGACGACGACGACGACAACGACGGACGACGTTTCTTGACCTTCGGGGGGGGGCTTCCTCGTCGCCTCGGGCGAGTTTTGAACGTTAGCTCGGGTCGCTCGCTCGGGGACGTGAGGGGACGGGGTAATCCTCTGAAGCAGGCGTTGTTTGGGGATGCCTCGGTATAGTCGCGATCTTCGTCGACAGGGCCACATTCCTACTTGGAAGAATGACAAACTTGCACCCTGCCACAATTCCTGGGCCGTTGCGACTCGGAGTGGTGAGAATCCGACCCCCTCTGCCGCGCCTTGTGGACTTGGGAGGCGCGTGATGGTGACAACCCGAAGCCCCTGCCAGCACATTCTGGGATCCCACCAGCCCTTTGGGCGACAGGTGGTCTAACGAGATTCCTCTTCCCTCTTCCAACAATCTCTGTGGAGGGGTTTACCCCTCCCCTACCCCCTCCCCTGGACCTGGACAGGGGGTGCCGCGATCGGTTGGAGGGTCCTTTTTCGGATCATGCGAGGGTTATTGTTTGAAACCCTCACAGGAACCGTGGCCCCCAAGGGGGGGGGGGCGCCGATCGGGACGCTTCCTGTTTTCACAGACCGCCTCCAAGATGCCCCCCAAGAGGCCCTCCAGGGTTCCCAAGAGGCACCCAAGAGCGCCCCAGCACCGCTCCAAGAGGCCCAACGATGGCCCTATGACGGCCCCAGAAGCTCCACGACGGCCCGAAGAGTGCCCAAAGACGGCTCAAGTTGCCTCCAAGACGCCCAAGACTGCCTCCGAGACGGCCAATCTGGCCCCAATACGTCTTCAAGCCCAGGACGGCCCAAAATAGTATCAGGATGGACCAAAACGGCCAGAGACGACCCCAAGGGGCCTCCGAGACGGATGCGGTTCACTTTTGGATTGCTTGCTGCTACACCTCCCTTATCAAGGCAACTCGCCTAGCGGTTGTTTCGGGATGGGCTGGTGGGGATACGCGAAGCGTGAAGAATTGTGGACGCCAGGAACAGTGAGAACTCGAAGCCCTTTGCCGCGTTATCTGGACCTGGGTGCGTGTGTGTATTGATGCATTACGAACGTAAGCGCTATGTATGTGTATGTGCGTATATGCTCATATGTATGTAACTATGAACGTGCAGTTTATATAGCAAAAATGTACACAATTGCATGTGCGGTTATATTGTCATTACCATGTGTGCTATGATGTCCTGTCTCGCTCGTGTCGTCCCTGTCGATACACGCTCGATGCGTGCAACGACTAGAACAAAACGGATGAAACTAGACAAGTTGTTTTTCAGGCGAACCGAACGCAAGCTCCAGGCGTCCACTCAAGAAGCATCCCAGTGCAACACTTCAAAGAAACGTTCTGTTGCACGCCTTTGTGGAAGGGTCCATTTATTGTGTTTTGTATATTCCTGTCACTTTGCCAACCATGGATTCGGATGCGTATGCTTGAACAAAGCGTGGATTTACCATGCTTGCTTGTTTTCCCAGATGTGCAACGGCATAATGCAATTTTGGCCGCTCTGACCACGATCTTTTCATGGCAACTGCTGCGAGGTGGGCCAACATCTGCCAAGTTCTGCCAAGCCGCTCGGTGTTTTTTTAACGATATTATTTCATCGTCCGATAACCAAACGCCAGCATCATACATGATGTTGTGCAGTATGTTGATTGATTCGATCACCTTAAGCATGTGCTTGTTTTCCGCCGACGGGTCGCGGTGGCAAGCCCTTCTCTGAAGGCCCTCACAAAAAGGAGCTGCGCAACGAGTGTTCGCAGCTTTGACCCCCTGTCCATGAAGATCGGGAAAGCCGTCCCCCATCAAATTTGATAGCTTCAGTGTGGGAAGACGGCTGTTCACGTTGGAACGTTTGTAAAACGCAAACAAGTCATTGTTCAGGAAGGCCAACCGATCTGCTTGGGTGTGTCCTGGCAGAACCCCGTCGCGCGCCGCTACTTGCGCGTGGAATATGCATCCGATCGCAGTACTCGTGATTCCATGGTGATCGAAGAGGTGCAGTATGTCGTAGCGAAATGTACACCTATTCCACCAACCGTGGGCGACCACTGGGTGCAAAGGCCGACGGAAACATGTCATGTACGTTTCATTATGTCCAAGAGTGCCCCTCCACGCTGCGCCTGCACTAAAGTCATTATGGGGGACAGTTGAGCTATTTGCATCGCACTCGCAACAACAATTGTGAGACAAATGGCGCACCATCCCCAGTTCGTTGCATGCGTATTCAAGGTCGCTGCCCCAAAAAACTAGAATTGCACCCCATTCTTGATCGTCGATTGGCCCTGCGAGTTTATCAAAACTCTCCATGATGGGGTGCCACGGTTTATATTCCAAGCTGTCGTCCTTCACCCCCGTGGCCATGAGAATTCTGGTGTCGATATCGCCGCCGTGCCTTGTCAATGAAAAGTAGCACCTCGCATAAGTATTGGCAGTGTCCGAAAACGGCCCAGCATCATCGAACAATTGCAGAGGAACGTACCATTTCAATTGCCCTGGCGTGCGGCCTCTCAGAAAAGAGTCGCGGCGCCACAAGTCTCGGCCGCCGTCGCGAGATTTGAGGGTTGCCCACCAATCAGTCATTCCATTACTGTACGCCCCGAGATGCCTAGCGAACTTGTCTGGGTTCAGCTTCCGCAGAAAGTGAAACGCATCGTAAGGGAGCAAGACTGTGTCAACCACGCTGTCATGCAAACTGAACGTCGGAGGAAGCCTTTCTCTAGGGACGATACTTTCCAACAGTCGCCCTGAATTCTGCAAGCTTTTAATCCAACGCGCCAACCTTCTGACGAGCTCATCGCTGTCCTCTTTGGGCTGAGCCGATACATTCCTGACGACGTCCGATGCAATTGCCTTGCCCCGCGCCCAGCCATGCATCCAATGTGCTACTTCGGAATTCCAACCCCATGGCAACGATCCATTGGGCTGGCGCGTCGGCGGTCTTGACCGATGTCGATGTCGCCAGCCTGGCATGCAGCCTTGAGCCAACATGGCTGATCTACATTTGGCGGAGCTTGACTAGACCAACGGTCGAAGTTGAGACATGTACGCATACCCAGTCCCGTCTGCAGCACGCTGGCCCTGTCAATCCTCACCCCTATAGGGCGGAACTCGACTAGACCAAGACCTCGCAACAAACTAGACTGACGTTTTTTGTGTTAAACATAGCGAACCGCATGGATCAGAACCCCCCCTCCCCCCCTCCCATGGGGGCCCTGAGGAGGGGTGCTTCCAGAGGAGTGGGGGGTGGAGGAGTTGTTTTTCAAATCGATTTGAAACAAACATCGGTGGCGCTTTTGTTTCTGGCAGGGCGGTGGCTATGGAGATGGCGGCATGGCGATGAATATGATGATGATGTTTGTTTTCTTTTGTTTTGCCAGGCGCTATTCCTCCTTGACTCATCTTTTCATCCTATTCCTCCTCCTCCCTCCCTCCCCCCCCCCCCCCCTTCCCCCCTCCACGCGGTGTTTTTGTTTTTTCTTTTCCGAGTTGGCAGCACGAGGCCCACATCCTCGCACAGCCCATGCCCGACAGAAATTGCATGACGGCCGTGCTCCCCGCAAGGCCAGGCAGCCCAGAAGCTCGCGTCTCAGGCCTCCCCGTCGGTGTCCGCGGCGGCAGACCGCTCCCTCTTCTTGGTCAACCTCGTTGCGATCGTGGCCATCATAGACAGGTAATCCCTGACCGTGGCCACGTCGTCCTTCAGCTCATCTGCAAGCGCTGCGGCGTTCTCGACCTCCTCTGTTGGGATCGCGTCGCCGTGCGATACTTTCTCCAAGAATTTGATGATCTTGGAATCATTCTTCTTCGCGGCCTTGAAGCTTGCGTTTGCCTCCGCGTAGAACTGCTCAACGTGCCTGCGAGGATTGGGCATGACGTGCCGCAGCCTCGTCGGACAAACGCCCACATGCACAAACAGTCGTGTGAGGGATGTGGCGCATCGAATGCAATTCAACCCAAATGTGCAACTCATGTTATCAAGGTTTACATACCAGTTCACACGGAGAAAAAAGAGCATTCAGACATTTTCAGAGATTTTCAAATATTTTCAAACTTTTTTCTTATTGTTGTTCTTTAAAATTTCTGAGAATTTCTGAAAACCTCTGAAAATCTCTGAAAATCTCTGAAACGCATCTGGCCAGCTTGATGCTGGGAGAAAGAACGCGCGCAGTTGCCTTTGTGCCAGCAGCCTGAGCAGCCAGCACGACATGAGTAACTATTTGGTTATGGGGCGTTTGTCCTGAGGCCGAGGCTTGCCATGCTTATCCGGGGACCTGTTATCCGAGAACTTCGCCAGCTTCATCTTGAAGTCGACTGTCACAGCACTGTACGCGTTGTGCTGCTTCTTGATCTTGGAGATCTTGGCCTTGTCCTCGGTCGGCTGCTCCTCCTCCTCCGGTGGCGGTGGCCCCTCGCCGCCTGATCCCTTGGTGCTGCGACGCGCCTCATTCACTGTGCCAACTTCCGTCACGCTCTTTATCTCAACGACCTTGTACTGCAGCTGCTCTTCCTCAGGGAGCTCCTTTGTCGTCGGGCCATCGTGGTCGAGGTCCTCGTGGGGCCTAGTCAGTATCTTTCCTTGTTTTACTTGAACACGGACCAGCGCGGGGCCGTTTTTCTGCGCGATGGCCGTCCACGACATCCAACTCTCAGTGACCTTCTCCATCTCGGCGTCGCGGATGATCTCGATGCCCTCGAAGTACGCGTCCTTGAAGTCCACCGTAGCGAGAGTCTGTCGAATGAACTCTTCCTTCTCCGCAGACTTTGACGCCTTGAGGTGCTTCAGGCCTTTGTCGTAGAACTCCTTGATGCGATGTGGTGCCTTCGTCAGCTTGCACGCGAAATCGTTCTGCCTTTTCTTGTCCTGCGCGGCAGCGTCCACGCACACCTGCTTCTCCTGCTTCGCTGCTTTCACTGCCCTTTTCGGCGCCATCGCGGATTGCAGCACCCCTTCAACAATCCTGGAGCCTCAAACTGCCATGGGCTGTAACGCATGTCGAGCCAGGACTCGCAATTGAGACGCGCGCCCCGTCTGCAGCATGCTGGCCCTGTCAAGCCCCGCCCCGTATAGGGCGAAACTCGACGAGACCAAGGCAGCGCAACAAACTAGACATGCGTGTTTTTCATTGATCAGACCCCCCTCCCGAAGGGCCCTGAGGAGGGACATCTCCAGAGGAGTGGGGGGTGGAGGAGTTTTTGTTCAAATCGACTAAAAAAACCGTGCGCGTTTTTTTTCTGGCAGGGCGGCGGCTATGAAGATGGCGGCATGGCGATGACGATGGTGATGCTTTTTTTTCCTCAGGCGCTGCGGTTCAACGAGCTCTAGACCCTCATCTACCAACTCGACGGTAGGCCGTCGAGAACTGAGCGCCAAACCGCCTTTTCTTATTTGCTTGTTGTTCCTCCTCGCTGGGCCGCTACGTCTCATGTACCTGTCGAGCCACACCTGTGCGGCCTGTTCAGGGTCGTCCTTAAGACGTTTGATGCGCTCTGCAATTCTCTTGCAGCCTCCCTCCCGTTTTCTCTTATTTTTTTTGGTGTTGGGCTTCTCGGCCTTCTCGGCATCTACGTTCGAGGTGTCGTCGGTGTCTGCCTGGGCGTCCACAGCATCAGTCAGCTTGTCCTCGCGCTGCTTCTCGACCTGCTGATCGGCTGACTCCATGTGGCCAGCTCGTCCTTGCACTGGTCCTTTGGAATATGTAGTTGTATTTCCAGAAGACGAGCCCGCCCCATGGTAGATGCGAGCGCCTCCTACAAGCGAAGGCCACTTGACCATTGCTGTGCATGTGCTGCAGCGCGCGCTTGAGCCACAAATGCGCCAGAACCACAACACATACCAAATTCGCATTCTGCGCGTCGCCGCCCTGTCGGCAAAGAGCGCGACTAGACCACGACAGGCAAAATGCGAGGCCCTGTCGACGAAGATCACGACTAGACCCCGACAGGCCCTGTCGATGAAGATCGCGACTAGACCAAGATGCATGGATGAGGGGGCGAGCAATTGGACATGTACATTTTATCGCTCCCACCGCGCGTGCACTGTGCAGTCCGTACTAACTGCGCACCAACGTCGCCATGCGATCGGCGGCTGCTTATTTCTCAATCTTGAGCGTTCCGCTCTCCAACTCCTTCTTGATCGTTTCGATTATCTCCTCATGATTTGTGGCTGTCTTTGCATTGCATGTAATAAAAAAGCGCCCATTGATCATTATGTATGTTCCCGCCTTGTGCGGTGGGTTTCTCCTCCTCATGATCTGCACCTTCAACGGGCCGTCGCTGGCGACAATGGCCGCCGCTGGTTTTCCACGAACTGCAGGCCTCATTGGAAGCTTCCGAATTGGTGCCGCTGTTTCGTCTGGAGCTGCTGTTCGGCGTTCGCCTTCGTCGTGTTTATCCCGAGCTGCTTTCACTTGTGCTTTGTGTCCACCGCGACGAGGATCAACGTGCTGAGTGTTCCTTAAAGCTGCTCTGGATGTCGAGGAGTGCCATGAGGGGGCGTTGCTGAGCAAATCAACTGTGTCCAATCCTTTTTTTAGTTTGCATTCGTCGCATCGGCAGTCGGCACTGCAGAAGATAACCGAGCTCTGGCTGCTTGGGTCACTCGCTATCTTGGCGATTTTTCTCTTACGACTTGCAGAGCCCGCGCTGGCTTAAGGGATTTCGTCTGCGCCGACGGAGCCATCGTATGTGCCAATCATACCTATTAAAATCTTGACTTTTCATGACAAGAACATTGTTCCTGACTTTTTCAAATCCACGATGTGTTTGCAAATCACCCGCAAACGGTCGCACGAATCGAAAGCCCATGTACCAAGATTGTCGCCATAAGCTTTTTGCGCGGCCTTGCTCATGATACCATATTTGCACTGTAGGGCCATCCAGACTACACGTAGCAAAGACAGCGCAGGAAAGCCCAACGGTGCGAACGACAACACAACTTTCAATATGTCGAAATAGAATTCTAAGCCGTCTCGGTCAGGTCCTTGAGCTCGCCTTCGTTTGTCGTAGGATGAGAATTCCCAGTCCCAGCCCAGGGACTCTGATTTGGTCTTGGCGAACGGGGCGAGGAGTGCTTCCATTTTTTCAGGGTCAAATCTGTCATTTGGCGTCCGCTTTGGTGGCATTATGAATGGCAACTTCGGTATCGGATTGTTTGGGGCCAAAGCGGCTACGGATGGGTCATGGCATGTGCGCAACATGGTAATCCCAGGAGCCTTTTGGGCGACAGGTGGTCTAACGAGATCCCTCTTCCCTCTTCCAACAACCCCTCTTCCCTTTCGGGGGGGGGGCCCTCCCCCTATCCCTTGGACCTGGACAGGTGGTGCCGCGATCGGTTGGGGGCCCTTTTCGGACCATGCGAGGGCGTTTTTCTGTGACCTCTCACAAGGATTGTGGCCTCCGAAGGGGGACGCCGATCGGGACGCTTCCTCTTTTCGCCGACCGCCTCCAAGATGGCCCCAAGAGGCCCTCCAGAGCTCCCAGGATGCCCACAAGAACGCCCCAAGACCGCCCCACGAGGCCCCAAGATGGCCCCAGGACGGTCCAGAAGCCCCCAAGACGGCCCGAAGAAAACCCACTGACGGCTCAAGTGGCTGCCAAGACGCCCAAGATGGCTTCCAACACGGCCAAGATGGCCCCAAGAAGGCCCAGGATGGCCCCAAGATGTCTCCAAGACGGCCCACGATGCACCCAAGACGGCCCAAGATAGTCTCAGGATGGCCCAAGACGGCCAGAGACGGCCCCGAAGGGCCTCCAAGACGGATGTAGTTCACTTTTGGATTGATTGTTGTTACACTTCCCTCATCAAGGCAACTCGCCGCCTGGCAGCTGCTTTGGGATGGGCTGGTGGGGATACGCGAAGCGTGAATAATAAATTACTTTATTCTGCAAGGCTACCTCAGAGGTGTCACAAGAAAACTTAATATCCTATTTTGCGGGAGGTCTGGACCAAACGGTTACCAGATGCACCGCCGCATGCGCAAGTGCACGCCGCGGCCCAGTGATTGCCGACGACGCCGACCGACGGCGACCGCCGACCGCCGACGCCGACCGCCGACGACGCCGATCGACGACGACCGACGGCGACTACCGACAACGACGACGACGGACGACGGACGACGGACGACGACGATGACGACGACGACGGCGACGACGACAGACGACGTTTCTTGGCCTTCGGGAGGGGGGCCTTCGAAGGCCACGGATTAGCCCCTCGGTCGAGTTTTGAACGTTAGCTCGGGTCTCTCGCTCGGGGACGTGAGGGGAGGGGGTTAATCATCTGAAACAGGTGCTGTTTGGGGATGCCGATGTCTAGTCGCGATCTTCGTCGACATGCGCGTGCCCGCGCATATGCACCCGCGATGCGCGCATGTACGCGTGCGTGCGTTTGCGAATGAGGCAAATCTTCAATATTTTAAAGAATCTTTAAAATTATGATGATCTTCAATATTTTGGCGATCCCGAGAGTCTGGGGGGGGCGGCCCCGCCGGAGAGGGGGGGGCCAGGGGGCGGGGGGAGACAGTCAGCCCAGCGCGCCGGCGTCCATGGGGGCGGCCCCGCCGGAGAGGGGGGGGCCAGGGGGCGGGGGGAGACAGTCAGCCCAGCGCGCCGGCGTCCAGGGGCGGCCCCGCCGGAGAGGGGGGGCCAGGGGGCCGGGCGGAGGGGGGGCCAGGGCCCTGACCTTCCAGAGTATTTGAAAATAGCCCTCCAGACCTATAGACCCAGACCCCCGACGTCATGATTTTTTCATGACGCGACCCCCAGAGGTCCGGACCTATTCGCCGGGACCGGTTTTTCATCCTGAGTTGTTTTTTAACGGTCCCGGGGCCCGGCGAGGGCCCCTTGAGGCCGAAAATTGTGAAAAACCTCCGTCTTGATTTTTTCAATACGTTGGATCTCTGGGTTATAAGATGTCGAGGCCCTGGTGCTCTTTTTGAGCCCTCCTGGAAGGCCAGGGGGGGGCGGGGGGAGGCAGTTGGCGGGCGAGACGTCGCCGGCGGGTCGGCGATGGGCGCCCCAAGGACGACGACGACGACGACGACGACGACGACGACGACGACGACGACGACGACGACGGCGGCGACGACGACTATTACGACGGCGACGGCCTGGGTGGTCCCGATCGGCGAGGCGTGGGCGGCGCGGGGCGGCGCCGAGGCTCCTCCCCGGTCCTCCTCCTCCTCCTCCTCCTCCTCCTCCTCCTCCTCCTCCTCCTCCTCCTGCCAAAAGCCCCGCCCCGGTCGCTGCCCTCCGGCTTCCGGGCCGTTGCCCGGCGCTCCAGCGGCCGCTCGGCGAGGCGCCCCCTCGGCGAGGCGCGGCTGCTGGAATGGCACCCCGAGGCCAGCAGAGAACGCCGAGAGCCCACGAGAACGCCGGAACACCGCGAACCTCGAACGTCCCCTGCCCCACTGCGGTGATGGCCTGCATCGCGCCTCCGCGCTGTGCGCACCCCTGGCACTGCTCCCGCAGGGGATTCTCTCGCGGGCGCCTGAGTCCTGAGTCCTGTCCCTCGTCGCCAGGGCGGAGCCAGGACGAGGATAGATTCGTCACAAAGCGTTCCAGAACGTTCTAGGAGCGTCCTGGAACGCTCTGAGAAGGCCGCGGTGCCCGATACATCGTCCAGATCCACCGGGTCTCAGAGCTTCTCGATTTATCCCCACCCGAATGTATCTTCGTCCTGGCCTTAGGTCGGGCGTGTCCTCCTACAGCCGGACCTTGGAGGAAGAACAAGAACATGAAACAAATACACAAACATAGTCCCCCAAAAATAGTTCCCAGACTATGTCTTAAATATCCTTGAATCTTCCTCCAGCAGCCCAGACCCCCGACGTCATGATTTTTTCATGACGCGACCCCCAAAGGTCCGGACCTATTCGCCGGGACCGGTTTTTCATCCTGAGTTGTTTGTTAACGGTCCCGGGGCCCGGCGAGGGC